ATTATTAACCTTATTCGTCTAGCATGCAGTATCTGAACTTTGAACACATGGTACCCGGTACTGGTATATTTTTATTTTTCTTTGCCGATCAATATCAGTACTTTGATAAACCTGCGTAGTATACATTTTACTCAATTTTACTATGGTTATAACTAGACATACCATTTCCAGATTCAATTTGTAGCCAGGTAGTAATTACTGTAAACTATAGCAAACAATAGTAAGAAGCACGATAACTAGAAAAATATTTTTAGAAAAGGTTTTAAAGAAAACTTGAACGATATTATGAAAGTAAATATAGTTACATATACCATTAGATTTTTAGACATGGGTTGTATTTAAATAATCTTAAATTGGAAAACATGCTTAAAGCTCTCGGAATAGTTTGTTGTAATGTAAAAAATAATAGTGTCTTAAACAACATCGTTGTCTTTGGCTATCAAATTAGTCATCCCATCTATATGGATGAGCAGTAGGCTAGCCTATTTTATATTCGAATGAAAATAATTGAATGAGCCACTCGCAGATGGTGCTACAGTATAAAATTACATTTTAAGCTTTAGTTTTTCGTTACTGAGGTAGGTGATGTCATTTAAAAGATGCCAAATATAAATGTCATTCTATCAGTTTGACTTGGTTAAACATTTGGGTATTCGAAAAAAAATTGTAATTGACATTAACATCGTATGGCTTAATTCAACTAAGTATTTTGTTTAATTGGCAAAAAATAAATTATCATTCAATAAAAATAAACTAATAGTAAATAAATAAACGCCCCTTAAATAAAATGGATGGGGCACACCTTAAAATCGTCTTCAGATGATCCTTAAGCATGATAAACCCAGCAGGAGTACTTTAATCAATGCTCCATGCAAGGTATCACAACTATTGAGCTTTGGCTCTGCATGGATTCTTTATTCTTCTGCCTTTGACTGAAAAAATAGGTAAGTCATCAGCTGCCACACACGGCGACACGGCCGTGCCAATGTCATAGCATAGCATAGCAGCATAGCTCTCCTGTCCTGTCAGCTCTCAGCTGTCACTTCTTTCACGTCGCCCTCATTGCCTAATTTATTATTTTAGTTATTAAAAAAAACCTAAGGAATTTAAGTTTAACCTTCTTTCAAAATTAAAGTTGTTATTTAAGTGATGTGAACTGTAACTTTATATACCACAGGATATTATAATACGTTGTTCTGTGTATCTTTAGGCAGAAGGTGAGTAATACTGTAGAAAGAAATCATGTAAATAATGGTTCATCTGTCTCACTCTCAATTAGGTCTATCACAATAACTAGGAGATTGCAATGTTTGAGGAGCAAAGTTCGGCCAGTTATGAAATTATCTCTTACTTTATCACGTCTACACTAGGCTTAAATACTTGCAATTTCTTTGTAACTCTCCTGTAACTTACTCAGTTAGTGATTACTCATTAATAATTAGGTTAAGCTACAGGGTCTCAGTAACATTATACCTACTTCTGCCAAAATGTAGGCTATGGTCATCTACAACAATGAGCTAGGCCTACCAGGACTGACTTGGTACAGTCCGTTTACAAAATTCCCTGAATTGGAGGGGATGTTTTTCTGGGCTCCCCCATCGTTTTTTACTTAACTTAATGCTAGCTACAACTGGTGATTGATGATTTGAGCAAACATCTGTTGTTTTAAAGGTAGAGTAAGGTGGGGGATGGATTGCTTCCCCTACGACCGCTTGAATTTTGTAAACTGTGCCTAGAAGTCTGGCCGAGGCATGTTGTGTCAGGACGAAGCTTATTTAATGGAAATTGTAACAATTTGCGGTAATTATTCCGTACAGGTGCCTCCAAAACGAATTTTTAATTTTGATATCTTACTTTATAGTTTTTTACCTCCTGAATCCAAATATACCATTAATTTTCACCGCTGATGAATATTTCTCAAGATATCGCCGTAAAAACATACTTAACATTACAATAAACAAGGTAGGATGGATGACATGTACAAGTGGAATGTACTATGGGTTAAGTAAACCAACCAGCTGATTGTTTTCAATCATGGTCAAAGCAAATGGAAGTGACAACTTTTATTAGCTAACTCTGATTCTGGAATATGAAAATCACCTGATTAAGTTACACTTTTCACTTTCTAAGACCAATAAGTTAAAAATGTATTATTTGGACCAGTATTTTATCCTTATTAATGATTTATTGATTTATATTTCGCCGTTTAGAAATTACATACTAAAATGGTGCTATTCTAACATAACCTTAACCTAACCAAACCTCTAGAATGTGTAAGCAAACTCCTGTTGATGTCAGAAAAGGCATGTCAGGGTGATAGGTCGTGCTTTATGTGAATTGGTGACTGCATTAAGTCCTTTGAAGGTAGGTTAGATTAGGTAAGTTAAAGTTTAGGTTATAATGTATCAAGTTGTTAGTTTATGTCGCCTGCAGACTGTTTTTGTAAAATTAAAATCCAGAAAAAACACTTCAAATTACTATTTCAAAAATGCAAGCATTTTTGAAATAGTAATTTGAAGTGTTTTTCTCAGTTTTTTAATTTTACAAAAACAGTCTGCAGGTGACATAAACTAACAACTCGATACATTATAACCTAAACTTTACCTTCCTAATCTAACCTAACTTCAAAACACTTAATACAGTCACCAATTCACATATAGCACGACCTACCACCCTGACATGCCTAAATAAGAACTACGAGTAATTAGTCCATTATTCCATCTATATCTCCATAATGTGACGAAATTCCTATTGTAGTAAACATTAAGTTATTGACTATAGAATCACTTGATATGTTTCTACAAAGTTAAAGCACGGCCGCCTGCGGCCGTGGTTAAAGGCGGCCGTGTCTACAACGATGTTATTATCTTTAGTCAACGATGTTATTCTTCTCATCAACCATGTTACTCTCTTCACATAACTTAATCTGAACTTGTGATGGCGACGATCAGCTGTAAGTAGGCTTAAGGCTTAGTTAACCTACAGTTCATTCCACTTGTAAATGTCATCCATCCTATCTTGTTTATTGTAATGTTAGGTATGTTTTTACGGCGATATCTTGAGAAATATTCATCAGCGGGGAAAATTAATGGTATATTTGGATTCAGGAGGTAAAAAACTATAAAGTAAGATATCAAAATTAAAAATTCGTTTGGAGGCACCTGTACGGAATAAATACCCAATTTGCTCCTCTGTTGTGGTAGGAGTGAAATATCAGCATCCTAGAAAACTTCTGCTAACTTACTCATTCATAAGTGCATTCATAAGTTAGCCTGTCTATTTTTTAAACATAATCTAACATTAAAACCTAAGTCAGGCCCATTTTGTTTGATCTGTTAACCCTTTGAGTGCCAACGTCCGGGGAACCGGACGTTTTTAAAACGAGCCAAAAGTGCCGACGTCCGGCCGACCGGACGTTTTTAGAACGAGCCAAAAGTGCCAACGTCCGGCTGACCGGACGTTTCGTAATGATCGAACAGTTGTCATAACAACCGAATGGATACTCGGATTCTTTTAACCCATATATTAACATTGAGTCGAAAGTTACTAGATGCGATACATCGATTTTCGTTGGTCGAAATATCGAAAATTCGATTTTTACGAAATTTTAACCTAAAAATCCCAAAAATCGCCAGATCGCGCTCGGCATTTTTAGCGCGACCTTCGGGAAAAATCATCGGCATTTTTTGAGCGTTACTTTTATTTCTCGCCTGGCACTCTAAGGGTTAAAAGTGTTGTTTAAATGGATTTGTATTCTTGACTTTAATTAAACTAAATTATTTTAACTTTTTCTAGGAAGTGACAACCAGCATGGCAGCAGCTGGAAATAATTCGAGTTCTATGAAAGAGTGTTACGAGAATTATATTTTGATCGATACTGGAACGAATCTAACGAATAAAAAATTTGGAAGAGATCTAGAGTCTGTCATCAAAAGAGCTACTGATGCAGGTAGGAGACTAGCTTTAAACAACCAACCATAAGATTAGGTAAATTTACTCATATTAAATATAGCTACCAATTAAAGCGTCCCAATCAAGAGCAGATTTGGACATTCGTTTCAGCCGTCTTAGTCTACTGGTAGTTAAGCCTGGTTTAAATGGGTCGAGTTTGTCAGACGAGGGCCCAGTTGTTGATTTGTCCAACTCGCCCGGTACCTACTTGACTAGACTGTCTACACGCATTCCTATTTCGAACAGCGACAGTGTAGGCACAGAGAAGTAATTTTTACAATTTCCCTGTGTTCTGTGGTGTAGGGTATTCCTTATACCGTAGCTTTCGTTTTAAATGTTATTTGAGTTTAAAATGGGACTTCAAGAGTTTTTAATGCTGAATTAATTAAATCACTAAATTAGATTATCTATATACTTATTTAATACGCAAGCAGGTTTTTTGTGACAATTACTCCTCCAAAACTACTAAACCGATTGACATGTTTTTTGGGTCATTGGAAAGAGCGTAACGTGAAGTTGTGCAGGAAACTTTTTTTTATTGTGCAGAAGTAATACTTTTTGAATCATATTCATTGTTTTTATTTATCAAATACTTACTGTTTTTCCTGACCTACGATCGGGAAAACCTTTGAATAGTAAAATAAACTCCATCACCTATAAAACATAGATGTAAGAGTTGGGAATAATCATTGATAGAATGCCTACCATAGATAGCTTTCAGTCAGTTCTCAATTTCAGATGAATGCTGTGAAACAATGTTCCAGAACCTCTTCAAAAAGTTGTTGTTGAGGCCTAACAGTTTTAAGTGGATCTTGAGAAGAAATTGGGTAGACCTATAATAATTTATAACATGTTTCAGGAGTCCAGAAAATGATAGTTAGTGGAAGTTCTATGAAATCTAGTCGAGAAGCCCTTCGATTGGCTCACATTTATCCAGGAACGTTGTATGCAACCGCCGGTAAGTACTTTTATTCAAGGTTCCACTCCAATTTTTAATTTACTAAGGGCCCAAACAAATATACTTAGAGAAGTTCGATTGCATAGAGCATAGTTTTATGTTAAATTTTTCTCCTTCATTTAATGATCAACTTTAGGCTTAAATGTTTGGGGTTCCCTTGTTCCTGTCTGTATGATTTTATTTTCCTATACCAGTGGCATTTTGATTAAAGTCAACAAGAGATTAAACACTTTTAAGGGAAAGCAGTCCACACCCATCAAAGTTTTGTGGATGTGCTACGCATTGATTGAACCCAGCCAGACTCCCGCACAGAGGTCCGAGACGCCAATCACTAGGCTAGCAACACATCCAACTCAATAACACATTGAATTAGGGAGCTTTGATATGAAGTTGATTATGTTGCTGCCTTTACAATTAACCATGCACGGATGTTTTGTTGTTACCTTCAGGAGTATCTCAAAACCTCTCCTACTCTTTGGAAGCTTGGTCATAAGGATTAAATTGGAAGGATACCTCAGTAATTAAAAAGAAGGCTTTACCTTCATCAGCTGAAAAGTTGTAACTGTTGGGCTGTTTTGGTATCACAATGCCATCATCAGATATCTAGATCTCGGTGGAATAAGCTTTATGAAATTAAAACCCATATCATACATATAAATATTTACATTACGATTAAAAAATACAAACACAAACAGGCCAGCGTACACACACACGGTACTGGTTGACATTGTCACGATCTGAGCAAGACGCTGACCCCCAACAATTTGATAATTTTTTGCGTAGGTGTACATCCGCACGATGCCAAGTCCTGGACTGACGAGACACTGGCAGAGCTACGAGAGGTGGCATCGTGTACAGAGTGTGTGGCCGTTGGAGAGTGTGGACTCGACTACAACAAAGACTTCTCACCTCCTGATGTGCAGCAGCAAGTGTTTGAGAAACAGGTGCTCATCGTAGAAATGTGAATTTCTTCTTCTCCTATTTTTCTGTTTTAAATTAACTATTGCTCTAGGAAGTTCCCCCAAACATGTAAAAATAATGTCACAATTACTTTTTGTAATAGCAGAGTGCAAATTTTTAGGATTGCTGGACGCTGGTACGATTACAAGAAAGATAGATCCTAAAACCAGTTTCTGTATGTTATAGGTCTATTTGTTCTAACATTGATTTAAGAGCACTCAAGATAATCGACCGTTTATACCCAAAATGACAATTTTATCTGATTAAATGTTTTTGCTCTCAAACAGTAAATTAGCAAATACCCTATACAAAATACCACTTACTCAAAATGTAATCCATCTGCTATTAAACAATTATATGTACCATATATTTGTATGCACTTCAATTGGCTTAAAATACCTACTTTGTATGGTCGCCATTTCATAGAACAGTAAAAGTATTAACAGCAATTCTATAATCTGACTGAATATTTTCAGGTAAAACTGGCCTGCGAATTAAAAAAGCCACTATTTCTGCATGAACGAAATGCACATGACGATCTGATCAAAATTCTGAACAAACATATCGATAGTCTTCCAATGGTGGTGATCCATTCTTTCACCGGGACTCTTGCTCAAGTCCAAACCTACGTCAAGATGGGCATTTATATAGGAATAACAGGTAAGAATCTATTTGCATTACCGAGTTTTTACTTTTCACTACCATTATACAGTTATTGGTGTAAAAAAAGATCAATACTCATTGGTAGAGTGACCATGAAAAAACCTTGAATCGTTTTACAAACCACGTATTATGTTTGTCTTGCATAAATCTTGATTAAGCCATAAATTTTGCAATTATGTCTAAAAAAAAAGAATTTGTTTTCAATTTTGTAATTGTCTTTATTTATGGTATTATGAACAAATGTTGTCAAACAATTATACCCACAGGTCAGGTTAGGATAGTCAAGAAATATAATTTCATGTTGATGAGATACTGCTTTAGGCCTAATTGTTTCTCAGAATTAAATTTTCAACAAAATTAGCCCCTCATGTAATGTTTTTAGGTGAAAACCATGGTTGAAAGATGAGGTTTTTTAGGAGTTTGTGGTGTTCAAGAAACGTTAACAAACTTTCCTCTCTTGACTTGTGAATACATGGGAGCCTCGAAAGCCTACAAATTTAACAGAAATTATTTTAATTTTAGGTTATCTCTGCAAAGATAACTCTGAAGATGGAGTACAGTCGTTGCTAGTAGCTGGACACCTTCCTTTAGAAAATATCTTGGTGGAAAGTGATTCTCCGTTCATGTACCCGAATGCACGAGGATCCAAACTGCCTGCTACTATTAAAGAGGCCCTAACTGAAAGGTAGGTCAAATGTTGTCTTTGTATATGCATAAGTTTCTAAACTTGTATGGAGCCAAACTTAATCAGCCTAATTTATTCAGCTCACCTTTTGATTGATATGTTCGTGTTTTATTTACTTAGACGCTTTCAATACTTGCATTCATATCTGAACATTTTTAGCTTGATCTCAAGCTTGCTGGGTTCGATCCTGAGGAAAGTTAATTGCTTTTTGATGGTTTGAAACTGGGCCTAGCCAGTGGCGTTGCTTGGTTAAATTCCAGGGGGGGGAGAAGCCTCAAATTTCCCAACTGCCTAACATAGATTTCCCAACTATTTTTTTTTAGAAATCAATTTCTGTACCGGTACTATTTTTAAAAATCTACAAATTATTATACTACACTGCAGTAACATTCAATTCAGTAGTTATAAACTCGCATTAACAAAACATAGCTAGTTTTACATCCTATACAAAATTACTCAATTTCTAAAACTTCTACCAATTCATAATGAAATTTTATGACTTCAAAAAGCTTGAACAAGTAATGTTTCGAATCCAAAAAACTTTAAAAACCATTGTGGTAGCAGACGTAGCAGTGTAAAATTTTAGTGATATAAAATAAGCCTCAGAGTACAAAATTAGTGGGTATAGAAAATATATTTTATTACAAAATAATGAAATTAAAATACTTTTTAGAAGTTAAGATCAACATTTTAACTTTCATAAAACTTACAGCTAGGGTAGGCCTAGAACAAGTTTGTAATGATGAAATATTAATATCAGTGTTGTGAATAATATTACTCTAGCCTAGAAAGGAATAAACCTAAGTAAGACTTGTATAAAATAAAAACGTTCAACTTGGTTGATAATAAACTTATACATACAATAAAAATGTTAACCTTCATCTTCATCAAACTAGAACTTAGACAAAAATCAAACTTACAGTGAAAGTCAAACATCAAATTTTAGGTTATGTTTTGTCCACGTAGATCTGTTTCAGAGTGATTAGTTGATTCATTTTTGTAAATCCTTAATTAGGAGTGATAAATAACTTGTGTAGATTTTTAAAATATATTCAGAGAATAAATATTCCATTTAGTTTATTAAAAAATAAGAGTTTTAAAGGTAATACCGATACACAAAAACCTATGTTTAATGTTATTTTAATCTGCTTATTAGCAAGTACTCCGGTCAGTTAGCCTGCTCCAAATACCACAAAAAAGTATAAAAATATATTTCATGTGACTGACGTGAAAAATATTTTTGAATCTTCTTGTAAACACTAACAAACAACATAATTGAACAGAAGAGCTACATTGCTTGCACTTTCAAAATTCAAACTTGCAGACGAATCATTCAGAATAATCAACACAGGACAGGATCAAGGTACCCAACATGCGTCCAATACCGGTAAGGAACAAAATTTCTCGTAAACGAAATTCCAACAAGCTTTACCGCTAATTGATTATTGATTTCTTAAAATAAGGCATGTTTAGCCATGGTTTAGCCTTGTTTAATCAAAGTTAAATTAAATCAAAGAAGCGTCAAGTTTATTTGTCCAAGTCAAAGAAATTTTTCCCTTTGATGGATTTTTGCAAATATTTAAATTTTGTTTAGTTTAAAAATATATTTTTCTTGTATCCGACTTCCCAACTGTCCCAACTCATGGCAAGGAAATTCCAACTTTTCTCTTTCCCAGATTCTAGGGGGGGGAGGCTCCCCCCCCTACCCCCCCCAAGGCGACGCCCCTGGGCCTAGCTATCCTTGATCATTGGGTTTTTAACTAATAAATTCTGTATAAAGTACCAGTCAATCTTAGTCAGTAACAAAAGCTACGATAATCTCTTTCCATTATCTATTCACCTTGCATTCGTATTCTGCTTAAAATATGTAGGCCCTACCCAAGTGTGTATCTCAAAGAATTTATTACTCTTCTTGAGTCATGTGCAAGTTTTCATTGGGCTGCAAATTAATGATGCTTTTGGACATAAAAGTCGACGCTAGATATTAAAACACCAGGATTCAAAACCATTACCTTAAAAAAAAATGTTTGAGAGGCAAATTCTAAAGTTGTGTTTTTATCTCAAATTATGTAAGCAACCTTTCAAAAATTTTTCTCTAATACAACTGTTTCATCAGGTCTCTCTCGTTTTTGCAACGGTATTGCACATTCCAACGGAATGAACCGTGTTGTCTTCCAGCAATAGTCGAGATGATCGCTGCGTTCCTACACAAGTCACCAGAGATGTCGCTCTACAGACTGCCTTCAACGCTCTCAAAGTCTTCGGTCTATCCTAATGTGCCTATGTCATACCTCATGTGCTCTTTACTCATCGACAATATGATTTATTGTTATTGTTATAGCTACGATTGAAATATATATTTGTGTATTAAAATGGGTAATTTTTTACAAAACATCACTAATATGTCAAAGTTAAGGGGCTCCTGAGAAAAATAAGAAAACACTTTATCAATAGCTTTGGTAACATCCATTCTTGTGGGAATCCATTTGACTGGGACGGTGGCGCGACGTTCTGTAATCCAGCTACTAGGAGGTCACGAATTGTAGATATTTATAGGCATGTACTGTGGATACGATACTCCCTGGTGTGGATTAACGTCCACTAGTGAGTACTAGAACTATCAGTAGTACTATCCTGATATTAGACAAATTTGTTAATACCAAGGCAAAAATGTGGTTCGGATTCCACTATAAACTGTAGGTTCCTTAGTTGCCATTAGCTTTATGGGCTAATTAAAGCTGTGTCTAAGGAATGTCGGCCTTAGTCACTAACAAGACTACAAGATCGCGCCACTCATCCTACACTCGTCTCCATTCATACTTGGCTTAAAATACCTACTTTGTATGGTCGACATTTCATTGAAAAGTATTGTGGAAGAATACCAAAACTGACGTGCTCTGTAGAAATCTAAAGACACATTCTTAATACTTTCTTATCTTATCTGGATATCTTTCTTAAATGGCGACCATACAAAGTAGGTATTTTAAGCCAAGTATGAATGAAAATGAGCATATTCACATTGTAGTCAGCTTTATTTGTAATTTGATGCCATTTCAATCTTGAAGGATGTAAATAATTCTCTATATCTCTTTATGTTCATAAATTTTCAGCTTTGTTATGTTTAGTTTGATTACTACTATTATTACTAGTTGTTGATATTTTGCTAGTTTCTATAGAAAAGCCAAAACGTTCCTGACTATTGTCATAGATAAAACATAGTCCCATGTTTTATCTATGCTATTAGGTAAAGTAATGATATTTCTCATGTATAGTCCGGTCCCAATTGATTTGGATAATTGGAGTTCTACTCAAGGCCACACTAAAAAAACTGGCCGTAATGCTCGTCAAGCATGACGTCATGATAGAAGACGGCAATGGTGTAGGTTTTATTTATTTATTTATTTTCAAGGAAAGATTAACACAAGCAGCTGATCACAAAAACGGCAAAACATTACATCATTGCCGTCTTCTATCATGACGTCATGCATAACGAGCATTACAACCTGTTTTTTAGTGTGGCCTTGTTCTGCTGTAGTTAAAAGTTAACATCAAAGACTCAAAATAAAGGTTCAAAATGTAGAAAGTTACCAAAAAAGAACCCATAATATCCAAAAAGTGTTTTTTTGTGTAGATAGATTTATTTTAAAATTTAGAAATACTCTGGATAAGCCTGAAACAAATCAAAACAATCTTGAGCCTCAGGGACCCCAGGCTTACCCAAAATGTTGGTAGATATTTCAAAATTATAAATAAATAAAGAAATTTAATTATATCGAAGTAAGTTCCCCCATTTTTGCGGGGAAAGCCCTTCAAACCTCCTGTCCTCCAATCAAACTCTTTCTCGGGTCCTTGTCAAGCCTACCCAAAAAATATTCCTGGTTGAGATCTCTATTACGTCACTACAGATTTTCTAAAAAGGATTGAGAAAATATTGCTCTCAAATGAGTCACATAAAAAGTTTTATTTCAAAATAAACATTTTTATAAGAAAATGTAAATGGACGGGATCAAGATCACAGTATAGTATGATATTTACACAATTGAGTTAAAACTAAATAAATATTGTCTATCCATACAACCATTCTAAGCACTAAGTAATATCTATCTTACAAGCGATTGAAAATACAAAATACGAATCTTAGTCTACTTGAGATCTTCAAATACGAACAATGAGAAATTAACTTAAGGCAGTATAAATTATGAATAATAATGCACGGTTTCCTTAAAAAAGAGTTGAAGATTTGTCGGAAATAATAATCATTACCAACTTTACAGTGGCGGATCCAGAGGGAGGGGGGCGACCGCGCCCTCCCGGGCATACATATACATATATTTTTTACTGCACGTAATAAATTCAGTAGTGCATACAAATTGCGTAAAATAATTTAATTTGTCACACTAAATTTGGACAAAGAAATGGTATAAAACTGCCAGCCATTTTGGAGAGTTAAGTGTAAAAACATACAGACAGCGTAGCGTAGTGCAGCGCAGCGCATGTTTTAAATCAAAACCGTGCATTGAAATGAGGTATGACATACTAGTACAGTAGCGTATTTCGGCGTAGCGTCACGCAGCGTACGACCGAGGAACAAACTATTTTGTTTTTCTCAGAGCGTATTGGAGCGCATTCAACTGCAGACACGCTTAAGAGTCAATTCTAGTCTCTTTTCTGCTCCAATTGGTTTCCTTCAATTAGTCGTAAGCTTCTCTCAATCATCCTTCACCAATCTAAATATGTAATCGAACGTTGTAGTCGACATTCTTGCATAATTCTTAAACCGATACTCGTGTTTCCTAAGGATTGGAAATAAGATGTATTCACTATGCTTGTTCCGGCCTTACACACTTCATGCACCCCGACTTAAACTTCTCCTACTGATCAAAAACTGACACCTTAAGGTATTTTCGACAAAACTATACGAGCCGTCTTCGACAGAGCCATCTTCTATACTAATGTACCCTAAGACCGTCTAGCAAGCTATGTTGCGCTACGCTGCGCTCTCTGTGTGTATTGGACTACGCTGCGCTCCTATACGCTACGCTGCGCTGCGCTACGCTACGCTGTCTGTATGTTTCTACACTTAGTTTACACCAATTTTTCGGGGGTACCCCGAAACCCCCAGACCCCCTGGTTTGCCCCCCTTGTGGCTGTTCTAGATCCTCCACTGAACTATTATGAGCAACGCAGCAATCGTGTTAAAACCAATAGTATGTCAATTATTGCTCATTAAAAACAGTTAGCTATAACAAAAAAAACTACTCTGAAGAACATTATTTACATTGTGAATCCATAATCTAATATATCTACAATTAAATGCATTTTTCAGACCAAAACGCAGATTAAAAGGCATCTGTGCGTGTGAAATTTCACAAAGTCAAAAATAAAAATGTAATGTTTTCATCCCAACCTATTCAGTTATTTGTAAATCAACAACTTTATAAAACATTCTACAAGGTCTAGAACTAACATTGATTGAAAATGTTGTGTATATTATATTTCTAAAATTAAATTAACATTTCCACTAATTCTCATAAGCCATTTTCTGGTTAAGAGTGTAAAACCGTCTACTATAATATAGTTATTAAAGTTACTTATCATAGACGATAAAGGCTTCTTTTCAGTTCAAATACAACAAAATCATTAACACTTGCCTCAATACTTCCTTCAGTTTAAATATTTCAGATTAAATTGTTAACAAATCCCTAACACACAATTCAAATGAGGGCGAGTTTACAATACATGGTAGAAATGTTAGTAATGTATTTAGAAGGAGTAAAACATAATTATAGCTGAAATCCAAGACAAAAATAAACACATCTCTTAAAAATCATTGATTCAGATTTTTGATTGCAGAATTTTAGCATAGTAAAATAAGATATCGTTAGCTTTGTGACAACTTGTATGTCCAAAATCACTACTTTTCAGGAGGTAGAAAAAACTGTTTTTTTTTTTGTACAAGATTAATTCTAGATGCCTTTTTAATGTTGACAAACTATTATGTTCATATTTTACATTATAATAAATACTTAAATGAGTGTTTCCTATTCCAATAACAAAAATCGTTTACATACAAGGTATCACTTCTTACAGTCTGGTACATACAAGGTCATACGAGGTATCACTTCTTAGGCTAAAGGACATGCAAGGTTTTTAAGTTACAAATATAGGTATTTCAAATACAACACTATTAATACAAACTTAAAAAAATAATTACGAGTCTTAAGATTTCAAACGTCCCTAATATACTAAAGTATAAAAATCATTTACTTAAGAAATCAACACTGGGATGCCGTTTGCAGTTATAGAAAAGTATTAAATTTATAAAAATTACAAAGATATAAAAAAATACTTATAAAATCAGCCTCAAGACTTTTTTAGTGAAAAATCATTACAATGAGTTTTAAGATTTCTAACTTCCCTAAAATACTAAAGTATAAACATTATTACAAAGTTGTACATACTTAAGAAATCAACATTGAGATTATATGATGCCGTTTGCAGTTATAAAAAAGTATAAAATATATAAAAAACTACAAAGGTATAAAAAATTACTTATAAAATCAGCCTCAAGAGTGGTTAGTGTCCCTAAGTTCCCGGTTGTTGATACTATGAATGATTCTTATCTCTCGTAAGGTAGCTGGTCGTAAAATGCGTGACAATCACGTGGAATAACTTCCTTAAGTTGCTGTAAATGTGTGCCATTTTCTATTCGTTATTGGTATCGGCGCATTTCTTACTAAAGGAAAACTCGACAAACTTGGGCAAGATCTCTTTACCCTTTGGGGAAGGGCAAAATAATCAAATTTCGACTTAACCTCAATTTCTCCTTTAGAGTACTTGATGGCCTTGATATTGGTTACTTTAGGGTCCCCTGGTTTCCGTCCAGGCCGTATGCTGTCGTACACCAGTAATGACTTCTTACCATAATCTTTAGGGAAGTCAAAACCAGCTACTTCTTCTTTGTCCGGATTATGGGAGTCTTTCTGGCCATTTCTGTGTGCCTGATGTAGTCAGATGGTAAGTGTATTTTTTGATCTTTAACTTTCCTTTCAATTAATGAGTGAATTGAATCCACTTCCATTTCTTTTGTTCAATTTCAACATTTTTCTCTTTTCTAAAACAAAGCAAAGCATTGGACATTGTCAAGTTTCGGTTTTGTGCAGTGCAGCCATCACTATATATTATAATTGGCTTGGAACAGTCACACATTTCCTCTAAATACTCAATAACACAGTTAGCGAATGTACTAGCACACAGATCTGCTTGGCTCTCATTATACCAATAGCATTTAGTGTCATGAGTAACTACATCATAAATGGTAAAATTGTGGCAGATCAATTTGGTTTTGTAATACAAGGCACTTGCATTTAAAC